CAAAATTAAAATGCAGCGCTGGTGTTTTTATATGTATGTATCTTTGAAAAGAACCAACTCAGAAAAGCTAAGGTGTCATTAGGGCTGGGTATCGAGTTCGATACTTTTTAGGCACCGACCAAATTGCCTCGATACCATTGAGTATCAAAAAACGTCTCGTCGTTCGGTACCAAATTTCGATACCTAAGGGGTTAATCTCATCAGCATTAGTGAGCCAAAAAGCTTGCAGCACTAGCCGGTGTGTTCGACTAGAAGAGGTGCGGCGCAGATCGATCACCAAAAAAATGGCTGCCCACTGCTCCGGGTGTGTGTTCACGGTGTGTGTGTGTTCACTGCTGTGTGTGTGTGCACTTTGGATGGGATAAATGCAGAGCACTAATTCCTAGTATGGGTCACCATACTTGGCCACATGTCACTTTCATAAGACAATAAATAAGATTTATATTCCGCTTTTACGCAAAACTCACTTTAAACTATAATATTTTTGTTATACTTTGGGCTATCTACAACAGTTAAGAGAACCAAAACCCCAGAAGACATTGAGCAAATAAATATAACAAACAATAGGGTAAAAAATGACAAACTATTTCCATGTCTTCCCCCTTTTTTATGTAGGCTACGGAAATCAGGCGTTCTTTCTCCCAGTCTGTCTCACAGACGCACGCACACACGCGGAGACGCGAACAGAAACTTCTTGTCAGCGCTGCACCGCGAATTGATCAGTAAAATAGTTTCGTAGCTGAAAAGCTACATGACATTTTTCAGTAGCGAGGTTCATGAAGGAGTTTAACTTAAAGATTCGCTATTAGTAGATGCTGCTGCTGAACGCTGCTGGGAGATGCATAGACGCAGGTATTCACACTCGCTTAATCTCTCTCTCTCTCTAATAACCGCATTAGACTGCATTACTAACTGTGTTAGCCGGCATATCAATGGCTCAAGCCTCTGTTATCAGCTCTAAAATGACGTTTTGGAATTTGCAACGGAAGGTTTGGGATGAGGTGCATAAAAAAATTAGTTCAACCCACACGAGATTTCAGGACTTGAAACAAATGATCTGAACAATGTCTTGATGTGTGGTTGTGACTCCAGGCCGTTAAAATTATGAAATAATGAAATAAGAAATAATGTACTCCCGAAGTGGTTATGTGGCCACGACGCCGCGTCTATATGGAATGGTCTTTCTCAGTTCTCTAACAAATTAAGAACTGCATTCGATTTCTATTGACTGAACGCAAGCGCTTATTGCGATAGAAAACACTAACGGTTTCCACTGATTAAGAAATATTTTTGTTTGCTTGGGTGGTAATATTAGGTCTATTATATTAATAGGGAAGGGGGCCCAAAAATTTGTTTAGCCTATGTCACGAAAATAGGTAAATCCGTCCCTGCCGTCTAATATGTGTTTTGGCCATGTAATGTAGCTGAAATTAAATATGTTATTACCTCTGAGTCAGAGCAGCGATCATGGAAGAGAGAACACAAGCAGACAGTGCTGGAAGCTGCTAATGCTCATCAGTAAATCAGTGGAAAATGAATAGAAATCATGATTCTGTCTGAGCTATGCGTTTTAAAACGTACACTAACTAGTGTAAATGTAGCCTAACAGATGTGTAAACTGAAGACTATTTGAGCTTTATTAAAACTATTTTGCACTGATTTATTGTGTTGGTTACATTTTGTTCCTTTGTGCAGTGGCTCAGGAGATGAGTCTTTGAGTTTGCATACACATCAACAAGCTGAAAAATAAAACCAAAGTTTTAAGACCATAGATTTCATAAAATTGGTATCGAAAAAAGTATCGTTCAGGAACCGGTATCGAAGTCAAGGTATCGGTATCAAAAATTTTTGAACGATAACCAGCCCTAGGTGTCATTTTTGTTTCGTCTTTCATGTAATGCCTGATAAAGTAGCGTTTGTGACTGAGCACAGTGCTTATTTGATTACAGCCTTTACCGGGGAAACCGCTATATCGCTCGCTCCAACAGCGCCTCCTGTTGGCAGAGAATGAATTTTCATTTGCAAGTCTGTGGGAAACACTGGTGTCTGTCAGCAAACATAAACAAAAAGCATGCTTGTGAACTGTTTTGAGAAGGTGCTTAAGTTTTGAGCCATGTATTATTACTCTGAATTAGGCTACTATTACTATTACTATCTTGTACCCTGCAATAATCATTTACTCAAACTCACTTTTATAAGATGAAGGCGAAAAATCTAAACAAATTCGGCCAAAATAGCGGCAAAAATAATTGGCATCATATATCGGCCATCGGTTGCCCTGATGTCTAAATATTGGCATCGGCCAGTGAAAAACCCATATCGGTCGACCTCTAATAACGACATGACATTCACAAAGGAGTCTGGAGTGATACACGTATTTAGGTAGATTTTGAGGCGCATTACCTTGAAAAATGAAAGTAATCCACAGCGTCCTCAGCAGCTCAGACGTTGGGAGAAAATGAAGACTCTTATGTTCAGTCTTACATCCAAACACAGAGCATTGGGATTGCTTGCGAGACATTGTTGACGTTACAGATGCTCAAGCGCGGAGAAAATGGAGGACAGCAAACAACCGCTGAGGGTGGAAACTATAGCAATGCAGAGCTGTCAATCAAACCCCGTGGCCCGGCCCGATGCAATGTGACATCACACTGCATGAGGCCTAGTGAGACTGACTTGGTTTAAAGGGGATTACAAAATGTGGAGTGGGTGGATTTTTATCATTGTAGGGTGGTTGTGTTCATGCACTGCCAACATATATTTACGTCCAAACACCATATAAAAGTGGATTTTGCATAATAGGTGCCCTTTAAAGTCGTGAGAAAGCCAGATGTGTCTTTACTTTTGGTTCTGTATGGATATAAAAGCATCACTGTTCCTGTATTAAAAGCAACATTATTTCAATCTTCTCTGAAATGACAGCAAAGAGACAGGTTCAACAACAGGCCTATAGATGATGCTCAGAGACTAGGCTTACAACACATGGTGGAGCTGTTGAGTTATTAGGCTCTGGCTGAACCAGGCCACAGATGGCAGGAAGCCCAGAAGGAACAGCAGGTGTCTGTACTTTTAAGAGAGTTCAAAGTTTAAAGTTCTTTGTCGTTATTTTTTTCCAGATCATAAAACTTTTTTTTTATGCAAAAAGGTGTTAATTCCAATTTTTAAAAGCATTATTATAGAAAGAATGGAGGAAAAGGTTCATGTAAACTTTTTTTTAGATGTTTTTGGCACAACTAAAATAGGTTAATGAAACAATAAAACATTCCTAACATTATTTTTTAAATCGTTTTTATTCAATATTCAGTTTTTTTTAAAGCAGAGTTCCAAGGGCACAGTTTTCTTCCAGTTTGATATTAATGTCCAAGACAAAAAGAGGTAAACTCATTTTATTTTTCTACTTTATTTGATATGGGTTTCCAGTTCTGAACATGTAAATAGCAAATATCATTCGCCATAGTAAAAAAACACACTCTAGATTTAATACTTGAACAGTTTTGAAATTGAACAAAAATTAAAGTAAACAACAGATTCTGGTGTCTGACAGCACTTGATAATGACATTATAATTAAACCCTTAATGGTTTCAGTGGTTCATTATATTTCTACGATATTTTCACTTCAGGTGGCTTTTAACAACAAACACGACGTGCACAAAAATGAACATGGATAACAAAACACAACGTTAAAGATCTTATAATATGGTTTAAATAAACATTTAAATAAAAAGAACGCACAAGCAATTTAAGATGTACAATGAGTGAGGCAGCAAACAAAGCCAATACGTTTCTTTTTTAGGTTGAATGTTTAACACTACCAGATGCCAGAATCTGAAGTTATACAAGCATCCTCCACCTCAGCCTTGCACCCATGCCATCATCAGCACTATCACACAGTGTAAGGATACCCATTATGTGCCTTTAAGAGGCATATTACAGGAGACAGTGTTTTAACAGTGTAACACAGACAAGAATATAACTATGCCATATGTATTGTATTGTTTCCATATTAAAAGCTAATTTCAATCTCTGAAAAGTGAGTGGTGCAAAAACACACTGTAACAAAATAAAAGGCACGATAATTCGGCAATTCGGTGCAAGATTAAGGTGAACCAGGAGAATAAATATATTGACTTCATCAGAGAACCACTATCATATGCAAACAATTGCCTGAGAGTTAAAATGATCAAAACAAGAATAGATTTATTATTTGTAACATGCAGTCACATGTCCAGTCAATAGAGCAAACTGACGGGCAATGCGATAGCTTTCAAAAGTACAAAAACGGTCCGAGAAGGAAGGCTGACATTCCTGTAGCATCCAAGAGCAGGAACTCTCTTTTTACAGAGGAGAACAGCAGTATCAAACATTAAGCAAAGTTATTTTAATGACAGCCCAAGAACATTGCATGCATTTTTATGCCATAGAGTTTGTGTACAAAAGCAAAAAGATTACAAAAATGTCACAGGAGTGGCTTGCACAATGAACTGTCAAGAGAGATAAGGTTTCTCAGTTGGTGAACATACATTGTAGGGCTGTAGACGGTTCTCCTTGGAGTTTCAATGTGTTTAATAAATGGCCAACCTCTGAAATCTTATCTCCAATCTAGAGATTACCTTAATGAATAAAATCCTGGTAATGAGGGAAAAAACAACAACTTAAATATAAAGTAATAATATCTACGATACCCACCAATGGCATGCTAAATATGCAATAACACAGAGAGGTTAAAATAATACACTGGTTATAATTTAATGCCACAAAATTAAAATATGTTAAATGACTTTAACACAGTATTTTAAAAAATATATTTAGTCATCTTTAAAATGCTCAAAGGAAGAATAAGGTAAACATGCTCTTAATAAATCTCAAAACAATAGTTTGTTCAGTCCATTTTTTTTTTTGATTTACAGACTGAAACATTTTAGAGTAAAAGATGTTAATGCAATATATGAATTGGGCTTGGGCACAGTGTTTAATTAAAAAATCAATCCATAGTAATAATTTCTATAATAGAGCATTTTCAGCATTTGTGTGTGTTCTCGCGTAAACTGTTTTCTCTCTAGAAAAATGGCTATTGAAACTCTGCTGTGTGCTGTCTTAATGTCTGGCACACTGTTCATTTGCAGTGAGAGTACTGAAACTAAAAGGTAAATTACATTCATTAAGTAGACAAACTAGGAGAAGGGGCAAGTAAAAACTCTTTAAATTTGTTGGGAGTTTATATTGTAAGAACTACAATTCTTTAACTTCCACCAACCGATATAATCTTCACAATCATCTGTCTGTAAAATACAATTGTGTAGTTTATACCCTGGCCTTAAGATAGGCATCAGAAAGGTTTTGGACTGTAAACAATATTGTTTTGGAAAGCGTATTTTCAGAGCCCCTTTGCTGCCATGATGCACACGCATAATGATACATTTACTGACAGCTAATTTCTGTAAACAGGATTCTTTAATACACAGAAAACCTCAAGAGAATGGAGAAAGAGCAGTAGAGTGTGGTTAAATATTTGAAAACAGGAACTGATCTCTTGTTGGCTGTCGGAACAACATCTCTCCATTTTCAATGAGGCTATACAAGCACAGGCTGATTAAAGACCCTAATATAAGCCCAAAAGCCACATCAAGCCACACAATCAGACTGCAAGCTCAACACCAGAAAAAGTACAAGAGATAGAGCAGGTGTGTTGTGTGGGAAAAGATACTGGCACCCATCTCTAAATCAGTGGACTGTTGATCCATCCATCACAGGCTGCTGGGCTTTACATGGACATCATGTAGGAAAGGGGCAGGCATCGGGGCATCCACTGGAAAGAGAGCCTCTCAGTCATTGTACCCTGAACCAGGGAGTTCATTGGTTAACGTGTGCCAGCGCTCGATTTTCTTGTCCTTGTTTTTCAGACAGTCAAACCAGTGTTTTAGCCTCTCGCCATTGGCATTTATACCTAAAGAGACTCCACCTGGAGAAAGGGAGGACATTTTTCATTAAAACATCTAAAAAACACAAAGGTCAATAGTTCCCCATGGGACCAGACAGGAGAGCAGATTGACATTAGTGGACTTAAACTTCAACAATGGTGTGTATTGACGTCTTTCCACGGTTGAAACAAGATACTTTCTGAGGTTTGATCATTCATGTTTATTTTGTGCTATAACTAGTAAAGAGGAAAAGATGATCGTTTACGTGCCGCTTGAACTGAGGCACTACAGCGATCTTTCACGACACATTAAAGAGTCGCAAAACGGTATTATTTGAATTTCTTACAAAATGACAAAATTTGAAAGCTGAGACTGCTTCATACCAAAAGTAATTTGCTCTGTCCAGGGACGCGGGAAGTAGGGGTGCTGAGGGGGCTGCAGCACCCCCTGTTTTCACATGGTTGCAAATGCAATGCCAAGTTTGTTCATTTAAATTTATTCATTTTTAGCATTTAATAATTTATTTGTAATGATCTCTGAAATGTAAATTGTAAGTGGGCTATAATAAACCCATGTTTATCTTTATAAACATGATTCATTTTACTTGTGATGTTTTCTATATGGGATGATTAGCCTAATCCTCATGAACACGTGACGCTAGCGCGTGGTATCAGACATGAACTGTACAGAAAGCGAACAAGATTAACTTTAATACAAGGAGATAATGGCGCAAAAGCGAATTTCAGATTTTTTAAAATGCCCATCCCAGCAAAAATTTTCCAAAATCGGCATCCAAACAACACCAGCCCCAGCACGAGCACTGACGTAAGTGAACCAGCCCCCCCCCCCAACACGGACACACACAGCACCCCCAACCAAAAACATCTTCCCGCGCAACCTGGCTCTGTCTTGTCTGTCAGCGTGTTGTCAGTTTTTTTCACTGCATGAGAAGATGATGTATGGTGTGAGAGCAGCATGGCTTGTTGGACGTAGCAACAGTAACGAAGGGGGGCGGGTCTTTTTGCGTCCTGCATCTTGCATCCTTTGATAATGTGCAAACTTAAACGTTTGGTTTTCTGTTACATTTGGTTGCTAATTCAGCTTCTCAATCTGACAGTTGGACGACTAGCTGGCTGGAACAGATACAAGGTTTTGTCAAAATAGTACGAATGACTTGTGATAGTCTTCACTACATCATCATGACATCAGTACGAATGGGTTGAAAATTACAAACAAGTAATGTTTTTCCTTGTATTTTCTTTTTCATGTAATTGTTTATTGCAAAATAATTTGTTGCTGTCTTGGAGTTTTATAGTAATTATTAGAGCCCGACCGATATATCGTTTAGCCGATCTTACCGGCCGATATGAGTCCGTCGCCGATATATCGGTATCGGCTAATATGCCACCAATATGAACATTTTTTTTTACAGAACATACAGTGGGGCAAAAAAGTATTTAGTCAGCCACCAATTGTGCAAGTTCTCCCACTGATATGAGCCTGAATATGCCGCCGATACGCCGCCGAAATGAATTTTTTTTTTACAGAACATATACCGCAGCTAAAATGCTTGAAATGGTGTAATTACTTATTTTGTCCAGCAGAGCGTGCTCCATTGTTTGCTACTGGCGACCTGGATGAAACGCTTTAAAGCTTAAGTCTATGGAAAACCACTGAAATTTTGAACTGCCATATCTCCGTACCGGCGTGGCAAATCCGCACCAAATTTGGGGGATCCCTTCAGCTCGAGGAACCCTCTCAAATGCGAATCGAGTGTACGTCTCAAGGCTCTCTTTCGAATGAGACCACCCCCGAGTCGATAGCCCCCGGGGAGGCTACCGATGCACGGAGGGTGGTGTTCGAGAGGGCACCTCGATCTGAAGGGATCCCCCGAATTTGGTGGAGATCCGCCGGCACGTTCGCGAGATAGTTACACCAGCCAACACTTTCACTTCAATAAGGAGGTCTCTTGTTCAGGCAGCAGCAGTCAAGCGTTGGCTTATTCGACCGTAAGTGCCCTGTGAATTGGACTTCACATGATATTCTGCCATGATTCCAGTTCCAAGGGAATGTACACATTACATTTAAAGGGCATTAAAGTGCGCGAGGCGTGAATTTATATTTATTTACAGAGGTATATTATGTCACACTTCACATTTCTCTAGTAAGTTTTGTCTGTGTGTGAAGACAGTAGCGCAAATCCGTGAATGAATGTTCCAAAGTGAAATAAACTTCAACGGAATAAAGTTGATGAAGTGCACTGATGTCAGACTCATTTTGGATAATAAAGATTATTGTTAAATTGTTAAATGCCCTGCCTCCATCATTACATATCTTTTTCAGGTCATTATAAGTGTTTGATCACCACATTTGAGTGATCATTGCAAAAAATTTGTTTATGTATATACGTATATATTCTATTTATGTAAATACTGTATTCTATATATAGTACCAGTCAAATGTTTGGACACACAAATGGGAAAGTGTCCAAACTTTTGACTATAATATACACAAAGAATATTGGCCGATATATCGATATCTGCCTTTTTTTACTCCCTAATATCGGTATCGGCCCAAAAAAACCCATATCGGTCGGGCTCTAGTAATTATAGTAAATTATTTTATTAGACAATTATAGTAAATGTGCTTTATAGTTTATGAAATATTTCATTTTTAATGAAAAACAATGTTTATGAATAATTTAATACAACAATGTAAAAATTTGACATTTATAACAAGAAATGTAAAATTATTCTAAATATAAAATTCATATTCAAAAGTTCATAAAAATTACACTTGTAAAATGCAAAAATGTGAGCAGGGCAAGTAGAAATCTTAACTACTGGCCTGATTGGAAAATCAGAAAAAAAATGTTACTACTGAGCCCTGGGATTGTATCTTACATCGTAAAAGGAGTTAAGATTTGGTACTGCTTTCAATAGGTAACATATCATTAAAAACAGATCTTAATGCAAACTGTAAAAATGAAAAATAAAAATATAGCGTAAAGATAATAATAAAAAATAATAAATTATAAAAAGATAGATTAAACCATATTTGTAAATAGTTCCTACCAATGAAATCATTGGATTTGCCAATGTCATAGTCCCAAACGGTCACCTCCAGGGTCTTTTTGCTGAGGTCAGCATACTTGATCTCATAGAAAAACTCCTGTTAAAGGGGGAATGGAATTAGCATTTATAAAAACTAATGTGAGTTACAGAGTCTGTAAATCAGGCATTGGTCAAGTTCATCTTACTTCATTGAATTCGGGGTTGAGGGTCTTCTTTTTGACAGCTGTCTTGTGCTTTGATTTTTTGTTCTCATCTGGCTTGAGATACCTGAAATACATTGGTGATATTGAGAGAGAGAGAGAAAAAAAGAGATGCATTGAGTTTGATCTTTCACTAAAGGTTAAGTTGACTTTCTTTCAAGATCAATCTGGCACAGGAATAATTCTGAAATAACTGCACCTTAGCAAAGGCAGTAAAACTGGGAGCACATTTGAAACAAATGCAGAATAGTGTTGTCGTATGCAACAAGTCAGTATGTCCACCAGAGGGCATTGCAGCTCCTGTATATAAAATGTGGAGGGCTGAAAGAAACAGCCATGAAAGGATAAACGAGGTTCATTGCAGGACATTTCCACCATTTTGCTCTAGGAGCATTCTTTAACAATTCAAGAAAAAAAAAGATTAAACAACCTCACTTCACTTGTCTGCTGACTTCGAGGTCATTAAATGTTTCATTGCGGCTCTACTCCTGCAAGCCCTCTTAATGAGGGTCCCTTGTTCTTTTACAAAGACCACCAGACAAGCAGACAGCCAACAGACTCAGATCCAGGCAGTGAACCCAGCAGCCTAATAATCACAGTCTGTGTCTTATTTTGTAAAGGCAATAATATAATTGCCCTGGGTATTTATGTAGAATGGCATTCTTTATTTGTATCCATCTGTGAAGCAGAATTAGTTGAATAATAGAGTAAAAAACTGAAATGAATCAAACAGTGTCTTGTTCAGGATGGTACAGAAATGAAAGTAGACATTTAAAGAAAAAGTGAAACTTGTAAAAGGCTCATTTACCTCTTATTGTAACAGTCTCTTGAGAGGGAATGACATTTGCTCCTGTAACTGTGCTGCTGGACAACTATTTTATTCAGCTCTTCTAGTGACTAAATGCATCTGGAGTTTAAAAGGATAAAATGAATGAAAAATCAATTTCATTTACTTCCCAAAATGGTGAACATCAAGTGATATCAATCGGTGAACACTGCTCTGCTCTGCTCTGTGTGTAGATATGCAGGAAAAACAGAGGAACGACAGAATGATCTGAAAATTGCAGATGGAGAAAATAATGACACAAATGCACAAGACTTGCACTGTTTGTTATCACCAGCAGAAACGATGAATGAATAATTTACTATTCAAAGCTATTTTGTAGAGTCAGAACCAGGCTGTGTAAATCAACCAGTGTTTGTACATGTAAGAAACAAAATCATAGTGCCCCACTATTGTAATCCCTCTATAAATCATTCGATTCAGGAAGCGAGGGAGTTGAGAGCTCTAATCCCCTCTGTGTGCTGACGCAGAGATCACTGCTTCATTTCACCCAACACATTCCAGTCCTCAAAATACACAAGCATTTGCATTTCTCCCTATCAAAGACACAATTCTACGCTTATGACATAACTGCTTTGGTATCAAGCGTTGACTAATGGTTCAGATGCTTGTGTTTAGCATGATGAATGGATGTGCTAAGGATTTCCTTACAAACATATATATGTGCACATACATACATCCAACATTGTAGGTAAATCATTTAGCAAGTGATTTATCCACAGTGATTTAATGGTACATTTATTGCAGAGATAATCCCATAGAAATTTGGGGTTAAGTGCCTTGCTCAAAAGCTCATGGCTTTATTTGGAATGTCGCACTGTCGAATGTCGAACTGACAATGATATCTAAGAACTTTGAAAGTAATCAGCTAGCCTACTTAGTTCTTTTTATTGTATGCATTTTATTCGATTTTAATATCCAAATGTTAGTGAAAAGAAGAAACTTTTTGATATCAGTTTGCATATGCAATGAACATCAGTTTATCTTTGGAAGCTCTTTTGAAAGCATCTCTGTATTAAAGGGGTCATGAACTGCCTTTTAAAAAAATAATTTTGTTGGGTGTCCACCCAACAAGATACTCTACCGTCAGATCAGCACTTTAAAGTCAACATGAAATGAAAATTCACCCCATTTTTTAAATGCATAATTGATAGTATTATGCATTTTAAATTATTTGTCTGTGCATAGGCATTTTTTTTTTTTTTACATTGTTTTTTTTTTTATCTCATTTTAATGTCAATGAACTCAACAGAACATCTACCATTACTTCCATTTTCTGTGGTGTATCTAATCTATGTAGGGAAAATCTCTCGCATATTATTTGTAATTTTGACAAAAACATTAATGTATTCTAACTTGCACCGAAATGAAAATTCTTGGCTGAAGCCGAAACCGAACAAAATTAAACACTGGGCCAAATACCGAACACGTTTTTTCATGTATTTTGCCACATTTTTTTTTACCATTGCATAAATTAAAAAGCCAAAATTTGCTTTTTACTCTTTTGTCTTGCTTTTCAAAGAAAAAAATCTATTACAAAACAACAATTAAAAAATATTTAACACTGAACATTTTTTACATTCTAGCAGACACTTTACCAACAAAGCACAATTTAACTTAAAATTAATAAGTTGGTAAAATAATCATTTTTGGCCATCAGACCCCTTTTTTGAATCAGGGATGTTTTATTTATTTTTTTTCTGTACAATTAAAAGCAGCCTTGCTGAGAAGAGACTTCTTTTAAAACATTAGAAAATATTACAGATCCTAATTTGAACACTATGTGTGAATGTTATAATAAATGTATTAAAACAGAGCTGTTGTAATGATTATTATCATTATTATTGTCTTACTTTTTATTTTATTTTACAGAACAACAGTAAAATTACAATACTAACATTTATGAATGTTAATAAGAGTTCTTGCTTTTTCTCAACTTTTATTTTGGCGGAAACGCGCAGGAAGACCTCAATGCTTATTTTTGTTTATAAATGAGTCTTATTATGAATACGCAGAGGTGTAAAGTATTGGAGTAAATGTAATTAGTTATTGTACTTGAGTATCTTTTCGGGTAATTTGTAGTTGTACTGAGTATCAAAGATATTAGCAACTTTTACTCTTTACTTCACTACATTTTTTAATGAGTATCTGTACTCTTTACTCAACTACATTTGAAATGAGTGTTGCAGTTACACATTACATTTTGCATGGACCTAGCTTTTTTTCTGCAGCAGTTTATTTCTGCTACAAAAGATGTGATACTGCCTATTACAGGGCACTGAAAGTACTGCATCTTGTGCGTTTTGCTCTTACTTACCCAAACTTGTCAACAAGGCTACTTTATGTGAATGCGAGTTCCTTAGCAAGTATTTGTGAATCAGAGGTGTTTTATATATGAGATGAGGACATGACTGCAATGAGGCCCAAACCAGCACATCCACTGCAATTTATTTACTAATTGTTCAAGGCCATTTAGCGATTTCAATCATCATACAGTAACCAGCAACGATCACCTCTTCCTCTTCTCATTGAAGACATGCGATGCAGTCCTAAACAGTCTCTCACTTTCGGTGCTTGTAATGATTTTTGTCTCTTTCTCCGACAGTTTAAATGCTTCCACACTGCTGACGTGTGTGCTGCATAATAAAAAGTGCGCGTCTATCACTCTGCGCTGGTTGCTATTTGATCGCGTCATATCATTGTTCGGTACAATTTGTTCTGTCTTTTCGCTAATTCGGCCTAATTTCGGTTGCCGAACATTCGGTGCATTCCTAGTTCCACATGAAACGTTTTCACTAAAGCAAATTACGTGAATTTTTATTATTTTAGTATTCCTGCACATGAACAGTTGAATTGTGCTTTTGGTACAGGAAAAACTTACGTTTTAACATAGGGGTCAGAGAAGCCATTGGCATCCATGGCAGCGAGATGGGCACAGCGGATGATGCCCACCACTAAGCCACACTTCTGAGAGCTGTACTTCAGAGAGATCATGATGCGCCCTCGCTCCTCCAGAGACTTGTCATCTGTCTTGTCGATCTGTGTTGAGACACACACACACAAATAGAAAACCCAGCCGTCAGTCCTTAGTAGATAATTTATTAATTCTCTCAATTAGTTTCATGCACCACTCTCTTCTTTCCAATGTTTTCTTGTCTAGACTTTTTATGGCAATCTCAACTGTTGAATTTAAGGTAAATCTTCTCTCTCTCGCTCTCAGAACTTTGTGGATCCACCAAAGCCGTCAAGCATGAAGTTAATTAGCTGTGGAGGAGGCGTCTCTGTTCATCCCCCACACACTGCTGTCTCATTTCCGTCCCCACTGGAGATCACACACACACACACACACACACACCCTCACATACACATTGCAGAGTCTCTTCACACAACAAACACACTTTGTACTGTTTGCCAGCTGGTGGAGTCACTCTCAGGCCTTAGAGCACATCCCAAGTCAGTCTTTGTGTTTAACTTTTGTCAGCTCTACCTGTACTGTAGTCCTGAGAGCAGATCCCAGATCAGTCTGTGTGCTGATCTTTCAGGTGGGTGACATAATTAATGGATAGAAGTGAATAGAGCTAAAAAAACTACTTCTAGAACTTTTAAAAACTTACTGGGAAATCTCATATTGTCAGGGTTGGAGAGCATTCCATACCTGTCAAATGTAATTTTAATGTCATTTTTTAAATGGAAAGACTTATCTAAATCGGTGGTGCTTATCTTTTTAAAACTGACTCATGAAGGCTAACTGAAAAGTAACTTGGGAAAAATCTAAAGACAATTGGGAAACGTTTGTCATTATATAACAGTTTCAGTCCTGCAATTTGATTGACTAAGTGGTGTCCTATAGGACTGATTTTTTTTATATATACTGTTTTTGTCACTTTGGTTGTCTGTGTTTGTGTGTTCCAGACACACTGTCAGTCTGTGCATCAGGGGCATTCAGTCCATAAAGCTGTGAATGTTCTGCATACCCAAGCCATTTAAAGAATGAGTTCAGGGACTGGCTAAATATTAACATTACTAAAAATATATTGTCATTTGAGGTGAAACATAAGGCTTATATAAAAAAAATGCTTGGAATAAGTAACTACGTAAAATAATTTATTTGCCAAACGATGGTAATTTTAGGCAAATCTGTGCTGGTTATGGAGGTACGGAGGAGTTTATCTCCAACACTAATTAAACACATCTGAACCAGCTAAGATTTTCAGACTCAATAGACATTTCTATTGTGAATATTCTATAGTGTTTAGAAGCTGAAATGAGCTAAACTCTGCAGGACGCTGGCCCTTTAGGTGAAGGTTTGGACACTCCTGGATACAAGTAAGTGGATTCATAACAGCTCACCCGATTCATGACAATGTGAATCGTCATTATTTTATAGCATTTTCGTTGCTTTTTGGCAATGTAGGTGATTTCATGCACAAGAAAATCTGTCCATTAATTGCTAGCCCAAACAGAAAAATGCGCTGACGCTGCCAGATCTCGATTACCATGCCTTTATTTTGAGAGTATGTATTGACGGGAAACAAAATAGGAGAGAGAGAGAGGGGGGTGGGATTGGGAAAGATCCAAAGCCAGGACTCAAACCCAAGATTCCCGTGCCAAAGGTGCTGCCACGAGTCTATCAGCGTCAACAAATCACATTTGGTGTTAAAAAACAAACAAACAAACCCTTGACTAAATGAACAAAACCCTCATAACTATATTTTCATTAGCAAAGCAAATTTTGAAAGTCCACTGAAAACTTACTGTATCTTCTCATTTTTGGCATAGAATATGTTGATGACAGTATTTAGCAACATGCTTGCGCAAACTAACAAATAAATAAATATTTATTGTTCTATTTGTTTTCCTCCTTTATTGTTGCATTTGTTTCCCCCATGCTTGACAAGTGTTGACATGCATGTTCTTAAACCGATTACACTTATTAAGCTGATAACAGGTGTGGTCATGTAAATGCATTTTCTTTTATTGGCCTTTTACTTGATTGCCATATGGTCTTAAATGGCTTAGGTCTAAACTTATCGACACGCCTAGATTTTTGCCCATTACCCTTATTTTGCCCGGCATGTAAACACCTAAACTTGTGCTCTTTCAGCTTATTGAAGTGCACAACGCTTCCCTTCTCCTGCTAGAACATATAAAGCAGTGGTTTGTGCTGATTCTAGCAGAGTTGTGTAATATGTGATATGTAACAGGAATGCGTCCTTTCTGTAGATTTAAGCGCATTCAGCCAGAGCGGGTGTTTTGCTTTAGGGGAGGAGGAAATATATCATACACTGACTCTTTCCTGACCCAAGAAATTATAAAAATGTGTTCTCATCCTGTGCAGCCAAAGAAGTGGTAGAAACTAGTTACAGAAACTGTAAACATTAGAGTGTGTACAAGTTTCCTGCTGACATTTTGGCATACACTGGGGTTTTTAATGCTGTAACATCACAACTATCATAATAAATAGAATACTTAAGTGGAATGCGTGGATTCTTATGTTTTGAAATCACAAAATTTAGTAAACTGATTTTTGGTAGTCATTAGCATATGGGTGTGAAAGAAAACATGCTAACTGATTCAGGCATTTAACCGATTAATTCAAAAACAGAATCATTAAGGAACAAAACACCACAACATTGTGTTGGTTGGAGACATGCAATGGTTAATTCTGCTTTGACTTCTTTTGGAACTCTGTTTGTAAGTAACTGGTAATATTGGGTCTAAGTTACTCAAAGGGATAGTTCACCCAAAAATTTTGTAATTAATTACTCACCCTCATGTCGTTCCAAACCCGTAAGACCTTTGTTCATTTTCGGAACTCAAATTAAGATATTTGTGATGAAATCCGAGAGCTTTTTGACCCAGCATGGACAGCAACACAACTAACAGTTCAAGGCCCAGAAAGGTAGTAAAGACATTGTTAAAATAGTCCATGTGACATCAGTGGTCAACTGTAAAGTTACGAAGCAATGAGAATACTTTTTGTGCGCAAAGAAAAGAATAATAACGACTTTATTCAGCAACTTTTTATCTTCCGAGTCAGTCTTTGTTATTTTTGTTTTCATAGTACACAAAAAGTATTCTCGTAGCTTCATAACATTACGACCAAACCACTAATGTCACATGGACTATTTTAACGATGTCCTTACTACCTTTCTGGGCTTTGAATGTGTCAGTTGCATTGCTGTCTATGCAGGATCAGAATGCTCTCCGATTTCATAAAAAATATCTTAATTTGTGTTCTGAAGAGGAACGAAGGCCTTACGGATTTGGAACGGCATGAGGGTGAGCAATTTAAATTTTTGGGTGAACTTTCCCTTCAATATTAACTGTTTATTAAACGGCTGCATCAAAGCAATATCACATTGCGATCTAGTGCTTACAGTCAAATTCACAACAGTGTTCTTGCTCATGTGATATTGCAGAAGTATTGAATAGATGTATGACAAGTAAGCGATAATGCACATACATCTGATTGTTATCACAAAATAAACCCTGACAGGGTGATCATGACCCAGACGCAAAGTTATAATGTATACGAGCTGGATGTACATTATCCCACTTCAATCCATGAAGCACTTTGACACAGTAATCATGCCTTAAAACCTACATCCACCACCCTCAAATGAAGAAGACATGCCTACAATGAAGTGTATCGAATTGCTTTCCTTAACGTTTTTCTCCTTCTCCTGCCAGACCATATAAAGCAGTAGTTTGTGCTGATCCTAGTAGAGCTGCGCCCAGGTACTGATGAAAAGACTTCCTGCCGAGCTATAGCTTTAGTTTGTGACTAGAGTATAACATTTCAGATATAAGGTATGGTCCAGGTACTAACACACGTGTGGGACTGTGTCCCTCCCTCATACATTCATGGTTGTATATTTCCAGTGAAACAAAAATGTATGTTGAAGATATGGCAGGTTTTGAAACAAGCGATACAAGCTGCAATTGTTAAACCGTTGTTAGTTTTCTTCCAGCAGCAAGCAGCCTATAGCTTTATCACATCGTATTGTTTGCTGGTGTTTGTAAGCCTGTCATGTTTGTCTCAGATTGGTGATGGATGTGAGGATGTTGCTCCAATGATATTTGATTTCTAATTAATATGTTGATTCTAATGAGAGTCACTCATTAGGGCGTTCTAATCAATTTGATATCTGAATCTCCTTATGTAGCTTTCAAACTTCCCTCAATTTCTCCATCACTCACAGACAACCACACTGATGATTAGCACAACTGAGCTCCTTCCGTCGTCAGACTGATTCCTTTCCACAGATGAGCTCTAAAAGACTGTAACTCACAGGAAGTTGTTTCTCCAAACAGTTGCTGAAGTTCTTAGTCTGGTTGGGTTTGAGTTTCTTCAAGGGGATTCGGGTTTCACCAATGAATTCGTTGTGGCGGAATTTGTCCTCGTCACACACTGAAATCCTAGATGAAAACAAAAGATTGACCGTATGAGTTCTGGCTTGTAGATTTGACGTGTAAAGGAATTATGTAGCTAGTGAGAAGACTTTCATCACCATGTTAATCTGATGTACCATTTCAAAGCTTTCAAAATACATTTCTGATATTATCTAGAACAGTTCTGACCCTGTCTGAAACTACTAATAAAATCTGTACTCCGTTCAGTCAAAGAAATATATGGAGGAGTACATATCCTCGTATCCAGTCAAGTGTTGAAGGCAGGCATTACAAACTGATTCCCCACCACCTGTGCTTCAGAACGTTTTTGAAAAGCACTAATTCTCTGTCAAATACATAGTGTGACTGGAACCAATTATTCAGTATATCCCATATATTTAGAATCCATAGCAGAAGCTCCATGGGAGGATCTTTTTACTATAGATGTTCATTTGCATTGAGCTTGCTCACTGTGAAATGAGTTTTCTGTGCTATTTGCAGTATCGCCAAGAACCACTTGATCTGTGGGGGTAGGAACAAAGGCACGGCTTCTTTTAGTTTTGCACAGGTCAATAATAACATTTGACTGGATACAGATGAGTAATTCACACAGGAAAAAAAAACTTACTGCTGATATCTCTCATTTAGAGATAGAACAGATGGCCAGAATAACAACAAATCCATGCGTTGATGAATTGGCTAACAGCAGAAAGAGACAATTATTTCACCAAAATATGAAAATCTCTTTATTTACTTTATTTACCCTCAAGCCATTTGAAAGCTATAGGACTTTCTTTCTGTTAAACTGAGATATTTTGCAGAATATCCTAACTGCTATTTTCCACATAATAAAAGTGCATGACTTCAAGTTCCAAAAAGGACATCAAAAACACCATACACTTCAAAGTAAATATGACTATTGTGTTATTAAGGTTGGGTATATATTTTTTTTTTTCGATACCGGTGACAAATCGATACTTTTAAAACGGTTCCGGTGCCTAAACGATGCCTGAACTGATACTTATTAAAAAATAAAAAATCCACCCCAAAAAATGATGGATTGGCCATTAGAATAGAAATAGAATAGAGTGCGCAAATGTTAGAAGGTCAAGTATTTTAATTAAAAAAATCAAGCAGATAAAATTAGCAGTAGCATTAGAATAGAGAGTGCTAGAGTTAGAGGGTCAAATGAAGATGAAAGAGATGTGTTTTCAGCCGTTTCTTGAAAATATTAAGGACTCAGCTGCTTGGATTGAGCTGGATTGTTCCCTCCTCCACCAGGAGGGAACAATTAATGTAGAAGTCCATGAAAGTTTTATCATAGGTAGAATGCAAAATGTTTCAATACAAGCATTTCAGTCAAATGTAATTTATGCAATATTTCAAACCTTTAACCCACTTGGGAAAATCAACCCATGGCAACAGTTTAAAAGTAGCCCAATTCTGTGGAAAAAATGCGGACTTGGCAACCCTGCATCCAACAAGAGCTACCGGAGTCAGCTTTGACTGATCACAGGCCGAGAATAAGGAGAAATGACTGACAAGACCATGCTGGATAATTTGCTGCTCAACAGATTCTGAGCTCATGACAAATATCTGATCTTGTAAGATGTGCTTGCTCCCTTTACACAGAGTGCGTGTGATCGCGAAATCGAAAGTGAACAGCGCAAACGCTCATTCTCATTCAAAAATATTTAAATACACCACATCCTGAGAGCGGCTCCCTGATGCGCCAAAATTATAAACAATATTAGAATGTTTAAAAGAGTGGACCCAAAAATCGCGTGAGCGAAACACATGTTGCGGGAGCAGGCGG